GCAATTGAGTAACAAAATCAGTAACAAAAATCGCACAAAGGTGATTAGTTAATGAGAATGAAAAAAAAAACGTTCTGAAAGTAAATTAAAAGACAAAATCTTCCTGGTGTTCAAGTATCAGATATAATCAGATGATGATCATGATCATCACCGTCGCCTTCATCATTATCAAGATGATGATGATAAAAAGCAAAATATGAACAGAAAACAGGTAAGTAAGAAAAAAGAAAGAAAAAAAAACGATATTACCTGAGCTTCTCTAACGGAATTATAATTGTACATTGATAGCTTTTTACAAATCATGATAATAATGATGATGAAGATGATGAGGATGATGAAGACAGATCAAATCTTGCTCACACTCCTTAAGAAATCATGTCGTAATCTTAATTTTCCCCAGGGCATTTTAAGATAGATTCAGATACTTTTTTAGGATAAGCTCATCCGTCTTCACCGATTTTTTTTTCTTGTAAAAAAGAAGATGAAAAAAGAAAGAAATAAAATGATTATGATGATGATGATCATCATCTTCATCTTATCATCATCATGAAACATCAAAGGTGACACTACACACATAAGAGATACCTCTCAACGAAGCCATTCATTACATTTGATGGATTGATTTTCAGTTGAAAGTCAAAGTCAATGGATAAACATTGAACACGAGTAATCAAAAGTTACTATCAACAACTATACCTTGTAACCAATATTTTTGTTTATATTATCAACAATTTATAACTTGATTGCATGATGATGATGACTTATAATGATGATGATCAACAATCTTCAATTTTTTGCTTCTTCTTCATATAAACATGATACCTAATGAATCTAATAATAATAGTCTTAATCATTGACTGATCTTTTCTGGTACTTAATCATCATCATCAGCATCAAGAATGTAATCAAATGACTATCATGATAATCAGTTTTGTAGTTTAGGTTGATTACTTGGAACCAAATTAAATGAAACTTTTCTGACGAGTTAATTGAAGTTTCATTCAACTTTTTATTCAACTTGATCATTTTGATTAACTTTGACTTGGTGCCAAACTTTGATAATTACAATTTAACTCTGATTATAATTCATGACACTTTTTTTTCTTGCTTTAAAATTGATTGTTGGTGTTATTAAGATCATTATATAATTATAACTGATCATAAAATTTAATCACAAATTGATGGAAACGTGATTATCAACCTTATTAGGTGATTATCATTAGCTGATTACATGATAAAATTGACAAATATTTTATTACCTTACATGTTTGTGTGTGTGTCTGTTGATTGATTTGTTAATTGTTCAACAATTTTATCAATAGATTTAGTTTGCTTCCTTCACTTGTGAGACTTTCAATTCAAAAGAGAGAGAGAAAGAGATTTGATTTAATTGTCACTAATCATATAAGGCATTTGTCCTTGTTGTTAATTGTTGACTGTCATTTGATTATGGTGAAACTATCAAGCTAAATATGGTTAGTGATATTAATCATGGTGAATAAATTGCTGTGATCAATTTTTGCTTAATTCTTTTGCTTTGATTTATGATGAAATGAGATAATTACTAAAATGCTGCTGATTTATTGTATCAACACAATTAACAGTTACAAAAATCTGTCAACATGATGATATTGAACAGAAACAGATAGAAAATGTTACAAAAATGATCAGCTAAATTTCATGGAGACTGAAAAACTGAGTAACATGGCGATGCAAATTCAATTGAATTACATATTAATGGAATACAATTTACCAGTGAAAATGAAAGAGGAAACAAAATATTAGATAAAGGATAAAATTATCATCTTCTATCCATTGGAACTTTCTGATTCTCATGAGAATGGGAAAAAATATGACCATTCAATTCAAGTGATGTCCATAAAAATTGATAACAATAATGTTCATGTTCACCCTCCACTCTCACCTTAACCTCCTCCTCTTACCTTGTGCTCACCAAGTAATCAGATAATCTGAACATTGGATATAAATTTATATACATAAATATTGGAGTCAATTCTGAGTATGAAAAGTATTAAATGGACCCTGGGGCACAATTACAAAGGGAAACAGTTGTCAGTTGATAGTGAGGTGGGTGAACATCAAGTAATAGTATTTGCAAGAATCAACAGCATCAAGTAGGAGGAGGAAGAGGAAGATAATGAGCATGATGATAAAAGATGATAAAAGAAGAAGAAAAAAATACTAAACAAATTTAGAAAAATTTTCGGTTAAATTAGTTGGATCATTTTTTTACACACTAACATGAATTGTGAATGAGGATGAAAATGATGATGATGATGATGATGATGGTCAAAATATTCATTGATCTGCAAACATAGATGTTTGATAATGATGAGGAAAAGTGATGAGGATGAAAAATCAAGGAAGAGAAAAGTAAAAAAATATTTATAAGCTTTTTCTGAATCAATAGGAGAAACTTTTTTCAACAAATTGATTGCATTGGAGACAGGGAATAAATAAATTACAGAGGAGGAAGAAGAAGATGAAATATTTCATCATCATCACCTAGCATTCCAAGTGTATGATGATGATCATCATCATCATGATGATAAGAAAGAGGAAAAGAAAGAGATAAATTTCCAACTATTTTTGAAATAAAAAGTGTTTGTTATCAGTTAGAATGCAGAAATAATAATAAAGTATATAAAGGCTACTGAGTTGGTTCCTATTATTATTGTTGATGATAAACATTTTACACTTTATCATCTTCATCCTTATCCTCATCTTCATCATCCTCGTAATTTGTTTTACCCTCATCATCATCTTCAGTATCACTCAATCCTAGTGAATGAATGTCTTCAACTTGTCAGCATCATGTTTATATCCCGAGAGGAAAATTTCACTTGTCTCCTTTAGGTTTATATTAAAAATTGTTTCAATTTTCATCTCCATCTTTTCATCATCCCTTTACTTTCATCTTCATCATTATCATCTCTCTCTCTCTTTACTAGATATTAAGGTCAACAAATGAGAAGCAGAAAAAAACATCAATTCCAAAGAGAATTCAAGGTAAATACTCTCAAAGGTAAATCGCTGACAGAGAAGACATTTTTCTTGGAATAGGAACATTTAATATCTTATTGTTTCCATGGTAATAATTTATCTCTTCGAATTTTAAATTTTCTCATCATCATCTTCTTCTTATATTTTTTTATCTGCAAATATCTAATTCTCAGTTCTAAATAACTTTACTAAGTCTCCTGATATCATCCTAATGATTTACCGTGAGAATCCTGTTAATTATTACTGTTATCTTCTTGTTGAATATTTTGATTTCAAGATAATTAGTTGATTGTTACTTAACTGGTCAAACCTGCGACAAGTTGAAATAACCAATAATGAGTAGCTCGTAGTGATACTTTGTTCATGGTATGATTACGTTGTGATTTATTCAAATCGTTAGGATAATTGATTAGATTACAAAATGACGATTCTCCTAAATTTTTGAATCATTGTTAATACAGAAGATTATTAATGATTAATGAAATTCAAAGAAAAATAATCTCACTGGTAAGAGGAAAGACGAAGATGTTGATGATTAAATAACAAGGTTGTTACATTATCTTTTACCATAAATGAGCCAATGGACATCAGTAAGAACAAGATATAATCATGTAATATCATGAATCTTGATGATGAAGATAAACTAACCCGTTAGTTAAATTATCTGTTTGGATGATGAGGATCAACTGAGATCAGTTGGTTCATTATGTAGGGAATAAGGTGTAACATGAGAAATTCATGTTGCTGAATAATTTGTGACTCTGGTGAAATTTATCAGAGAGGATAAGGAAAAATGATGAGGATGCTGAGAGAAGCAATAATGTGAAAAAGATCAACTCAAAGTGACAAGTAAAGGGGAACAATTTTATCCATGGATTTTCAGTTCATCATCAACATTATGATTACCATGAAACTGAATAATAACATAATGGATAAGCATTTTTCCCTTGACCACCCTGACTGACCAATGGACATTATCATCTTACTGATAATCATCCTTTGCATCATTGAACTTTCATCAGAAGGATCAATCTCTTCATAATCTTAATGATACCTTTGGACAATGGATGAAGGGAAAATACATTTACCCTGAAAATGATCATGAATCACAATGAGAGTTCATTCCGATAAAATTGATTACTTTTCATTCATGTAAACTGATTAATCTGTTTTTACTATTAACAGATTAACTAAATAAATCGTTAATTGTTGATGAAGTTTTTCATTTCAAGTTCATCGACAATGAAAAATAAAACAATGAATCAATTAGCAAGAGCAATTAGTTTATTATCGTCAATATTTATCAATTGATAGAGTTGATTGTTTATATTATTATGAATAAAAAAAACAGAATCAACTGATTGTGATTAAGTGTAATTATTGAGGGTTAATGTTTATTCAAAGATGATTGAATAAATTTGAATCAATTGAATTGATGATTAACATTTTATCTTCTCAGGTAAAAAATTAAAGATAAACACAGATTAAGGGATGATAAGGATGAGGATGATAAATCTATCAGCTGAATATATGACTCAGGTCAATCGTGACTTCGTTCAAATATCATTCTCGGTATTTGATTCAATTTGATTAACATTAAGATAATAATAAGAAAATCAGATGAATCAAAAGTAGTTAAAGTTGATTAAGATTGATTTTCAAATGAGTTTTAATTCACCTTTTTTTTTATCTTCAATTGTAATTAAAATCTCAATCTTTCCACTTTCCTTTAATCCAGTACCATAATGATTAATATTTAAGGTGATAGTTAATGATAACTGTAACAATTAACAATTCAAACAATCGAGTAAATTGAAAAATCAAATATTCAATAATCTTTTCAATGATGTAACTTGAGGTTGTTTGATTATTGTGAGTAAATTATTACGTTGATTACAATTTAGTTTTGCGGTTTTGCATTTGAGATGGAGAGTTAATTAAATTGTTAATTGTAATTAAAGAAAAACAAAACTTACCATGATAGATCCAAGGATGATCACATGATGAGCATTCCCTGAATGAGGTTCCTTTGCCTGGAGAGAAACATTCACAACAGCAATTGCTTTTGGTACATTTGATTGCCTGTTAATTGTTGACGATAAAAAGATAAGCAATTAATTGTCAACGATTAAGTTTCATTATCAATTAGATGGACAAACATTATGATTGAATTGAGTTAATGATACATTAACTTGAAGTGCTTTTCCAAAGGTTAGTGGTCAGTTTTTTTGCTCATGTTTCGACCGATTATCAATGAATTTGAATGGAAATATGAATTTATGATAATCATGATAAGAAAAAAGAAAACAATGTAAACAGATTGATTGATTTTCTTGGACAAGGTAATATTTTTGACTCTTCCTAAAGGCTACATGAAATGTTATCTGGTTTCTTGAACAGATTCTGAGAATTGACAAGTCAGTGAATTATTAGAATTGAAGTTAACCAGTAACATTTTTCACCAAAAGATTCATCTTCTCATCTCAATGATTGAGGACATTTTTTTAAAGCATTAGACGAGTGATAGTTGACATTCCTGAGAGAGATGATTTGAGAGAGAGAGAGAGAGTCAGTGTGAGAGAGTGAAGGTGGAAGAGGAAAAAGTTTTTTAAAAGAAGAGAAAGTAACTGGGAAAGGAAAAAATTTTGTTTCTACCATGGATCTGGATTGAGGAAGTTTGTTTTACATGATCTGGAAACAATCAAGTAATGGTGTGTTTCAAAATACAGAGAGAGAGAGAGAGAGAGAGATGATAATGCTGATGATGTGGAGGAAGATGAAGATGATACTATCGAGGGTGAAGTTTTTACAGTTTGATATCTGGTTTATGATGGAAATTCAAATTGAGGAGTAAAATTTAAAAACATCATTTCACGGTAATTTAATTTCTCGGCGACTCTCACCTTATCCTCCACCACCATCACCTCAGCCACACTTTAAGTATCATCTTCATCTACAATGGAAGAAGAGAGAGAAAAAAGCAAAGTGAAAAAGATCATATCATGGGAGCAATAAATTGTATCTTCTACAGTGACATTGAAATTTCCTTGGAGAGAGCGAGAGGGAGATGGTGGGGTAGAGTGGGTGCAATGAGATGAGATTCAAATGTGAAAATATTATGATAAAATTGAAAAAGTGTTGGGATGGATCATGAGAAAGGTTGGAAAAGGTTGACTTTCTAATAGTTAAATTGTATGTTAATTTAATTTAATTCTAGTTTCAATTGCATCTCTTTTTTTTGGTGTCAATTATTGAAACAAGAAACCGTTAGGTTACAGTTACATGGTTTACATGAGATTAACATTGAAACCAATTTGATTAGAAACTTTTTTATCATCAAATTGAATCAATTTTTTGCCTTTCCTTTAATCATAACATTGTAACAATATAATAACTTGATTACATTTTCAATTGAAAACCAAGGATTCTAATCTTTCATCTGATCAATTATTAACAATTAAGAGAAAAAGGAGACAAATAGTATCCCAGAAACATAATCAAATCAAGAAAATAACAACAATCAAGGAAAATAAATCCAAATATTAAAGGAGAAAGAAAAAAGTTAAGCAATGAGAAATTACTATTAATAATGAAAAGCTATTGGCGATTCTTAATTTTTTTGATTGTTGTTTATTAGCTAATTGTGATTATATATCATTTATTATGATTAGCTGATTGTGACACTTTGAGTGTAATAACTGTTTCTGATTAACGGTAACATTGGGAAGCTTATGCTTAATGTTATTATTGTTTGTTAGCATCTGGGAGTTTTGGGTAACAGCAATTTATTTTTACTATTGGAAGATGAGGATGAGGATGAAGAAGATGAAGAAGATGATGAAGATGAAGATGAAGGTGGTAAGATGATGGCGAAAATAATAAGACAATAATAAGAAGAGAAAGTTTTTCTCTTCCTACACCGATGATATAACTGTTTTTCTCTCTTGGCTACTAATGTCTTGTTCTCATCTTTCTCATCATAATGATGATTAGGATGATGATGGTCTGTTGTTCTTCCATCTATTAAATAATAGATGACAGAAGATGAGAGAGTGAGTGATAGAGAGAGAAAGAGTCATGGATTACATGCATTGCTACACCAATATCACACAATATTTATGATATTAGTCTAACCCCGTACAATTATTTTCTACATGGTGTTACCATGCTTGGAATTGACTGAGTTAGAGGAAAGATGATCATCAGGAGGAGAGATAATGATAATGATCATGATCAAGATAAAATGAATCTTTCTAATGGATTTTGTGATAACACTCAAGGTGAATTAAGTATTTATTTATTACATGATTATGGTTTACTATTTATAATGAAACATGAATATAATTGTGAAGGTTAATCAACTTGTAGATTTTTGTACTTTTTTCATTATCTAGTTTCATTAGATTTCATCGAAACTGTAACTCCAGCTAATTATTTGTTTACAGTTAATTGTCAAGACGATTGATTATCTATTAGCTAAGGTTAAGATGCTCATTTATTCAGCTCTTCATCTTGGTTCTTCCTTTGCCTCTTTCATTTCCCTTTCATCTTTTATCATCCATCTTCCTCTTCATCCTTTTACTGAATTCATTTTGATAGTAACCATTTTTCAAGATCAACCTGACATTTCAATGGATCAAAATTTTATCTGAATATCCATTCAGACTGACCACTCCTCTCAAATGGAGAGCATCATTTCATCCTCATCTCTATCATCAACCATCATTAGTTAATCAACAATTGACAACAATCAAGTTAAACTTCATTTCTCCTTCCAATTCAATATTGATTCTGTGTGATCAATGTTTCCTTGCACGCTGCTTATTTCAGGTCGCTAATCAAATGATTAATTGTTTCTCTCTCGTCATAGTTTTTTTACATCATCTTTTATCTTCTTTCTATCATCATTACCATTGAACTTTCCATTTTTTCATCTTTCAGAATTATAATCGGATTTAACATGAAAAGTTACCTAAGAATCTGCATCATCAACACAATCATCATTATCTTCCCTTTGGATTGTATCACTTTTAATATTAATAACGATGAAGATGAGGATGAAGATGAAGATGAAGATGAAGATGATGCTTTCATAGCTCTCTGTCATTTGTCAACGAGTGAGACTTGAGGGAGAGTCTGGAAAGTGAGATAAACAATTTGTGTAACCGTGAAAAAGTATATATCAAAATTTACTTTCTTTGGTCTCTTTCTATCTTCCTTTTCATCATTATCATCATTCTCACTAACTCATTTCTCCCTCTCTTTCAAATGTTTCAATATGAAATCGGATTAACAGAAAAACAATGAATCAAAAATCATAATCATCAACCTTAATCATTAGAATCAATGTCAGACTGTAATTCATTTGTATTAGAAAACAAAATGGAAAACATTTTACTCATCATCATTATCATCACTCTCTTCATCATCTTCATCCCTCATTATCATCACTGTTGACTTTATCCTCATCATCTCATTGTTATTTTAATGACAATCTTTCACTTCACCAACATAATCAACCCACGAGGTTTTTTTTTCTCATCATACCAACACAACTAATCACAATCATTATTAGTACAATTAATTGGCTTGAGAGAGAGAGAAAAGGGAGAGATGATACAAGTGGATGATCCCTTGTTTTCATTATATTCTCTCCTCCTTCTTCTTGATCATCATCATCATAATCATCCGCATCTTCCTCCTCCTTTTTTACTCTTATAATTAGAGGGATCTTCTCTCTCTCTCACTCACTCACTCGTTCTCTCTCTGAGTTTACAACATCAATTACAATCTCATTGTGTCAAAATGATTGGCGTAGAAATTAAGTAAACCGCAGATGAACATTTTCCTAAACAACAATCAACAAACAATCAACTAAACACACAACATGCAAACAAACAATATGATAAACAAATACTAATCATAATTTAACTGACAAAACAACAAGGCAACCACAACAATCAATTGTAATCAAATTATTAACTATTGTAATTTGGTTACATTGTTTTACTCAGCAATAAATAGTTAATGAATTAACTTTGGATTATTAATTGTATCTCTCTCTCTCTTTCTTTATCACTTTCTAAATATACATGGATATATATTTAATTATTAATTTTTCGCAGCAATCAACATGGGAATTAATTGATTACCACAGAATGAGTGAATTTTTGTTGAATAAACAATGTTAGTTATGGATATTATTGTTGTGGTTGATTGTTGAACACTTTGATTATTTTTTCATCATAATCAGTGTAATTTAATACTCAGGTTTCTGTTTTTTTTTCTGTAATTGTTACTACTGAATTTGTTTAAATTAGTTGTGATCAATTGTGCTGGATTAATGTAGTGTAATAAACATTATCATATTGACAAGTCTATGTCTTCATTGACTGACAATGTCAATTGTAAAGTAATATCATCAAACATTATCATCAATGATATGATTACATTTGGTTGTTTGTTGTTTACAGATAATGTTGATCATTTGATGATGATGATGATGATATTACTGACCATTGAATATTGGCAAATCACTGGACCAAAGAAAACAATAATCCTATGAATGAATTAAAGATGGACAATAACAAGATGAAAGGATAAGCACAAGACGACACCAAGCAACAAGAATAACAAAAGATGAAGTTGTTTTCAATATAACCCTTTGGGAGCTATTCCAAGGTCCGTCCATTGACGGCAACGACCGCGGTCAGTTTATAAATAGTTGGTCATCATCATCAAGGGTTAATATTATTGATGCTTTATCGCCATTATCATCTTGGTGTTAGGTTATTTGTAGCCTTTGATTCCCCCTGAGGAACCATATCGGATGAGGAGAGAGAGAGAGAGAGAGAGAGAGAGAAGAGGAAGATGAAAAAGATGTAAGAGCAAAAGGCCATCCGATTTCTCTTTCTTTCCATAAAGAAAGGGAAATAAAGGGTGATGATGATGATGAAGAGGTTTCACCCAAGTCTATTGCATCCGCCTTGAAGCGCATCAGAAGATGGATAAAATTGTATAAAAAAAGATGAGAAAACCCTTTGGGGTGATACATCAAGCATCAATGATCATGATAATCAAGAGAAAGAGGAAAAAGGAGAGATGATGAAGGCAGACAGAAGTGGAAGTTGATGGAAATTATGATGGAGATGATGACCATAGTGAAATGATGGCTGATGATGAGAGTAAAAAGTGGAAATTAACAAGAAATTGATGTCGGTTCTGTTTTTGTACATTAACAAGATCATTGATGTTGGTCAAGCTTTTTTTTCACTTTCAGTTTCTTCCTTTGCCTTTGCCTCTCCAATTTTACAAGCTTTTTGTCTAAAAACAGCAGCAATCGGGCAGAGTAATCACTTATTCTGGGTCATCACTTAAATGGATTTAACATCAGCTTATGTAACTAAAATTTTCTCTTTAATATTTTCTTCCATCCTCTTTTAATGCTCGGTGATCGTGGTAAGTATCTTTTGTATCTCTCTCTCTCTCGTCTTTGCCATGGTATAAATGGTTGGTGGAGAGAAGGCCAAAGAATGTCAGGTTGATGATTATTACTGGGCGGTTCGTTTAATCTGCTTGGAGATAAAGACACGGGGATAGGGAATAAATCTGAAGCTATTGCGTCTTCAAGGAACGACATCAACCCCTGTGGGCTTAAACTGTATATTGGTTGAGACAAAAAGCCAAATTAACTAACAATCAGGTAAGAGAGAGAGAGAGAAAGAGATGTTGGTATAATGTCTGTTTCCAGCGAATCCAATCAACCCAAGGACACGAAACAAAATGATGATGATGATGATGAGGTGCTTGGCCTAGTACATCAGATGAACAATCTCTCTGGGCTGGTCTTTCTGATAATGAAGATCATGATCATGATGATGATAAACCACGGTGACCACAAGACAAGGCGAGGCCAGAGGCATGAAAGATTATTTCACAGTAACCGTCTCTTTCTTGATCAGTCCTTTCTTTTTCTGGTCTTTAGTCTTTCTTGTTCCTCTTTCTTCTTGGCTTCCATCCTCTTCCATCTTCTTTCTGCTGGATTTTTTATCATCTTTTTATCATCACATTTCTCCCTGTGTGAGTTTCACTTTCTTCTTATTTTCTTTCTTGTTTTTTTCTCAGTTTTCACTTGAAAGACTGAAACAAAAATTGACTGAGACTTGATTTCGTTGGAAAGAAAAGAGAAATTTGTTCCCAAAAGAGAGAGGATGAAATCAAATTAGTAAATTGATTGATTAATAAGACTTAAACACATATGTAAGTATACATATTTACATTAAATGCCCTTAAGGTAATCTTGTAAAGATTTTAATGTAAATCGCTGTCCCTTGGTGTTTTCCAGTTCATGTTAACGTTGTTTGCTTATTACCACAATTGACAATGGAGCCAAAGAAGAGGAGAGAGAGAGAGAAGCAATTGACCCTTACTCTTTCAAAAATAAGATGAAGTAGAGATTAATTAATATAAATACACAGGGTTGGGACACACACGAGATACATTATCAATTTTGGAAAAGGGATAAAGGGAGAGAGAGAACAGTTTTGAAAGAGTATTAGAATCGCCATTTAACCGCCTTAGAGAGAGAGAGAGAGAGAGAGAGAGAGAGAGAGAAACAAGCAGAGGAGAAAAGAAGACAAACAGGATGAGAGACACGAGAACATCGTTAATGTAGAAGAAGAAGATAAAATAGAAAAGAGTCTTAAACAGAGTCAACGTAATTCTCATTAATCACCTTAATGTGAAAAAGGTAAAAATGTTGCCTTGTTACATTCAAGTTCCTATGTTGTCAAACATTTCCACTTATATCATCTCTCTCATTCTCTTTTCTCCATCAAGTCGTGAGGTAGTAAGTTAGAGTAACCATCAAATAACAACGAAATTGAGTGTTGACTTTAAATGAACGAAAAAAGAAGAGAAAATAGCCAAACAATTAAGTTGAAAAAAAGAGAAAATTAAACAAATAAAAAGAGAAAAAGTGTAAAAACGAATAAATCAAACAAAAAGAAAGGAAAAGATCAACAGTTCCAAATTTGAACTTGAAATGATTTTATTAGTCCACTTTGGATTACAGTTACATGAGTCGTTGCTCATGCACTAGAGATTCCGTAAGCATGGGTCTACTTGACCCATGCTTACGGAATTAATTCCTAGTCATTCTGATAAATCAGAAATCTTGAATTCTCAACAATAACAGTATTAATTATCTGTTTTCTAATTTTAAATACATTTAAATGACAAAAGTTCTTTGGGGACCTTATCTTAATTACGAACTTTGGGATGGAAAGAAAAGGAAAAAATTTGTCATCATGTTTGTCGATTGTATTATCATCGAGTTATAGGCCTGGAAAAGTGATAATAGATTGAGAATATAGAGCAAGAGACAAAAATAAAGAGAAAAGAAAGTGTTCCAATCTCTCAGATGATCTTGTGTCTATTTTTGTCTCTTCTCTTTCTTTTCCATCTCATCTCCGCCCACTGTCTTTTCTCCGCATAATCACAATACAGAGAAAGATGAAGATGAAGATGAAGAGCCAAACCCTCCTCATCATCATCATCATGTTCATCTGAACCCATCGATGTCACTTGTAACCTTCACGATGATTTTGTCATCGGAAAAGCGATGAAAACAAAAGTTTCATTGAAACAATTTCATCAATGAGAAACTTTTACTTTGCTCATCCCTCCCCATGGAAACCGCATCAGTTGAAGATGAAGATGCGATGTGATGAGAAAGCAAAATCGCCGAGGGGCATAAAAAGAGAGGAAAATCATTTAAAAGGACAAGTTAACAACTAATTAATTGTCTTAAATTGTATAATTAGGTTGTCTTTTTATATAAGAAACAAGGTTATTAGTGATGCTTGAGAGGATTGGGAAGATTACTTTAGGGCGACAATTTATCTAATCATCATGATAATTATCATCAACATGGTGTTAACATGGTAACCACAAAATTACTTGATGACATCAATTTAAAAACGTTAACCCAAAGGTTAATGATTAATGATTAAGTTAATCAAGAGAAACAAATGAGAAAAAAAAAACAAATCTAATCAACTCTCTGATCTGGATAATCTTGTCATCTATTCAATTATTTTTGTCCTTTCATTTTAATGATGATAATCATGATACCTTGATGATGGTGATTATCATCATCATCAGGATGATAAAAGGTGTGAAGATGATGATGAGTGAATGTCTCTTTACACCTTAACAGGTAATGATAACCATTAAAGGTTACACTAAACCAGTGATGATGATAACAGATTTTATCACGCAAATGTCACATTAACTGTATATAGATATAAGTGTATTCAATTATCATCATTATCTTCATCTTTATCAACAATATTATCTTCCTATTATCATCCTTTTCCCCCTGTTTTCTTTTGTGTAAGTCATCATGATGAGCTGATGATCATCAATTGTGATCAATATGAATGAATAGGAAGGAAAGATGAAGAAGAGAAAAAAATTGTTCATCATCTGATTGACAATCTTTATCATTTCTTCTTCTTCTTCTTCTTCTCATCATTTAATATTATTAGATGATAATGATGATAAACCTTCATCGTGATGATGATAACAGAAAATTGATGTTATTTTATCTTCTTCTTTTTCGTTGTTGTTCAAACTTTTCTTCTTCTTCTTCTTCTTCTTCATTCATCTCATCCTCATCTTCATGAATATCATCATGAAAAGGTAACCGTCCTTTTGAATAATAACAAAACCTTCATCATCATGTTCATCTAATATCATGAGTGAAATTTATACACAACCAGAATCCATCAAACTAAAAGACAGATAATTGTGATTGTTGATAATCAATCTGATTGTTGATTCATCCTCATCCTTGAAAAGGATAAAATTTGATAGGAAATGATGAGGATGAAAAAAATGATTCGATTTTGTTTTCATATTCTAAATTTTAATCGAATTGGTTTAGTAGTTTTTTTCGCTGTAATTTAAATAAATTAATGACAATTAATGACAAGGTAACACAATCAATCTGATTAATCAGAGTTTCCAATTGATACCATGTTAATATTAGTTTTTGATTGAAAGGGAAAAGTTGAAACAATTAAAAGGAAAATAATATTTACAATCAATTTGTCCATCTAATTGTCCACACATACACAATTTAATCCGATCATTAGCTAATCCATTGGATTAAAATGAATTAAAATCAAATGATATCAATGAAAATTCACAAACCTTACTGTTCTTGGTCATTGGTAATTGTTAATTGATTAATTAATCAACGGAACACGTTGTTAATTGTTGGAAGACAATTTGATGTTTTTAATGATCCTCACTGATGATTATGATTATGATGATGATGATTAAGTAAAAACAATTTAGGTTTCTTATTATAATAATCCCATTGGATAAAGATGAACAATTGTTTTCTTGATTATTACAATCATGGTAAACATTTCATCTTGATTAATGATAATGATGTAAGTCACGTAATGATGATGATAATGATGAGAATAATTAAAATGAGTTGATCATTAAAAATGATGTTTTTATGAATATAATTGATATAATAAATCCGGTAATACAATGATCATAATCCATTCAATAAATTAAATCAACGAAACAAGTAAACAATTAACACAAGAATCATAATCGCGAACAAAATCAATTATCTTGTCAACAATTAATTCACTCAACACAGAGGTAGAGAGAGAGAGAGAGAGAGAGTAAGAGATGGATTAAGATACAATTAGTAAATTAAATCAACTTGAGAACGATGTAAACAATTTAAAGTTGTAATAACTTAAATTATAATAGTTGTAACAAATTAATCAACGTTTCATTGGTGTTAATTGTCACAGAAAACAAAAGAAACAGTCAATCAGTAGGTTTAGTGAAGATTAACTATTAATCACAGAGATTTAGCTGGACAATTGTGATGGTCAGTTAATTAAAGGGGAAGAGACACAATTTGAACACAGCGATTTACTTGTGACAATTGCCAGTATTTTATTCATTCTGAACCAACAACCTTTACACACTTTGAGATACAAAAAGTTATATTAAAAACTGCGCATCATCAGTTACACGGTGGGATGATGATAATCCCACCCTCTCGGTGATCATGGAACCGCCTATAAGTTACAGAGTGAGATGATGATGAGAGGATGCTAACATGAGAAAGAGAGGAAAGGATGGAAATGAGAGAGAGAGAGAATCACATTTTTTTTCTCAATCAAATTCTGAGTAAATTGGTGAGCAGTTTTTTCAATAAAAGAAAATTTTTTTTTCTTCAAAATCTTATGTCATTATTATCGTAAGAATTGTCATTCCTGATTGGGGTCAAGGTCAATCAGACTGAATTGGACAAATTTTAACGGTTCTTTTGTTTTGTCAACCCTCCAACTCATTTTTGTAAAGGTTCGTTGTAACGTCTAACGTTTTGTCCAGCATTTCGTTGGAAGTGAAAAGACTTTCGTTTCTTCACAAATTGTAGCTTCTTTTTGGTTGGTAGAATTTTTCTCTTCACCTTATCATCTCCTTATCATCCTCATCATTATTATCTTCTTTGTTCTTACAAGACAAGTATAATCTCACAATTTATTATGGTGCAAATTCAATGAGTAGGTTTACGAGGTTCCGTGACGAAGTTGACGTTACGTTGATTCTTTTTGTTGTTATTCAGACAAAGAGAAGATAAACTAAGGAGGAGGATCATCATCATCTTCTTCATCTTCTTGACCAGATCTTTTCTTGGAATTTTCATCTTTCTTTTCTCTTTCTCTCTCTCCCTTTTCTCAGGTAAAGGCAATAGAATCACAATGTGAAACCTGATTATCTTTTTTCTGTTGACTCTGATTCTTTGACTTATTTGATGATGATAAGCCATTGAATAGTATACAGAATTATCTGTATACTATGAATTTTAATTTTCTTTTGTTTTCCATTTCATTTACTTTCTAAGTTTCACCATGATAATCGAGTCCAACCAGAATCGATTATCACTTTTAGTTTTGTTTCCCATTTAAAAATTGCATTATCATCATTGACCATCATCACCAACATCAATAATCATCAATTTCAGATGAAAAAGAAGATAAATAAAACATCATTTTGCTTTTTCACGTACGAATCATTGGTAATTCATACCAATTCCATTTCTCCTCCTTCTCCTACACCTTCATCCCCACCTTATCTTTTATCATCTTCTCATCTTCTTATCCCTCATTCTGATAATTCTCATCATTATCATCATCTTTTACCCCTTTCTATTCATCTTCAATTGACACTTACAACTTTTGGACAGGTTACACATCACGTTTACCTTTAATAGAATAGAATTGATCATCATCATCTTTCCTCTCGTTCTCATCTTCATCATCCTTTATTATCATCATCATATATACTCATTCATGTACTTTTACCTTTATTGTTTAGTGGACAAAATCGTGCATGTAACTCAATCAACTCACAAGAATAAAGTAAAAGTGCCAATAGAATGAGAATCGTGAGGTTGACTTAACGACAATTAAAAATTTTTTTTTTCGTTCTCAACTCATTCTCACTTCCCATTCAATTCAACTACCTGAAAATAATCATCACCATTCTCATGGTAAAGGTGTTGGGTGAGGGTGGTAAACCCATCGAATACCCATAATAATAAACAAGCGAAGAAAAAAAAATTCTATCTTTCAAACTGATACTTTTCCTCAATCATTTATCATCATCTTTCTGAATCATCTTCTTCTCTTTCTCTCTCTCTCCTTCACCTTCATCTCTATTCATCATTCAAGTATTTTTTATCGAACAAAAGAAATAAAGAGAAGAGAGAAAAATATTCTATCTGATAAAAATTCATGATAGAATTTCAATATTCTGTATTATTAAATATTCCGTGACATCGATATTCAAACGATATCCTCGAAAACAAAGCTTTCAATTATCATCTTATTATTTGACTTACCCTTTCATTCAATCACAATTAACTTATTGTAATTTAATAACACTAATTATCATCTTTATCATGAAAGAAAATCAATCTAACGATAGACCAAGTTACAAATGTTGAATAATAATAAACAGTTATCAGAACTTTTCTTCATCTCATCTTAATCAACAATTTAATCAGCAACAATTTACCGAAGTACTAACGCCATCTACAGGCTAATTTAGAGTGAAACCATTTAATCAATTTAATTATCAATAAAATTAATCAGCTTTGAAAGGTAATAAGGTAACACCAGATATCAGTAATTAAATTAAAAGTAACAATTAATTGTTTCTCCTCGTAAAAAATTTTTACAAGATATTTGTTACAATTAAAATGAAGGGAAAAAAAGTTGTGATGCTTTTTCAATGGACAATTTTAATTCTCGGATTTAACTTAAATTTATTATTTTTTTTCTCAGGTAAGTGAACAGGTAAGCAATTATTGTCCAATAAAAAGGTAAGTCCAATGGATGATGAGGATGAGGATGAAATAATAAGCTAGGAAGATGCTGTTCTTATGTAATAACATTAAAAAGGTAGTAAAAAAAGGCCATAGAGCTTAAGTTTACAGAGACAAAGTAACAAAGTTTTGCTTTTAATGTTACTTTTCATTCAATTTTTATCCTTTTCCAGTGTTTTTTACATGATCATGATTAGGATGATAAAGAAACCACATCACTTTTGATCCTTTTTCATATTCATCGCCTCAGGGCAATATTAGCATCATCTTCATCCCCAATGACTTCAAGACCATTGCAATTGGGTATACTTTGTTTTCCCCGCAATTTAAATTGCTAGATGACTTTTTAATCTTAATCAAAGAGTAACAGTTATTGTGCAATAGATGATTAACTTAATTGTGATTATCATTGATTTCATTTTTCTATGTTTAATTTGATTATTGGCTTGTTGGTTCTTGTTGTTGTAACTTTTTCCACATCACCAATTGAGTAACTAAATTGCTCCTCTATCAATCACAATTAAAAGATAATGATTAACCAATCAAGGTTAAATTCATTGAATTAGCTTTACATTTAGTGTTTTGTTTTAAATTGTTAGCTAAATTAAGTTTCCTAATTTATTATCATTATCAATTGTTTAAAAAACAAAGTTAATTGTGAGTAAACCTTGATTACTAAACTAATTGTTTGTTTGAATTTGGTTCCTGGTCTAGTAAAAACAATTGAATATAAACAATATCTAATTGTTTGTATTGTCATTAATTGGAAATAGATTGGTCAACAATCAATACTGACCAATACATATACTTCAAGTCAATCATTTTGTTTATAATGAAAATTGTTTTTTTCTTGCTGAGTGACATTTGACCAAACATTAACTGGTCATCAAAATGACCAATTCTTGAAAGGCCATAATCATAATAATCAATGATGATTATAATCAATGGTTAACAACAACAGCAACAACAACAACAACAACAACTGACCACTCCTATTTACCTGCTCATCATTGAGCGAAGGCTAAAAAAATCATTTAACCTTAGCCATTAGTTGGAAAACAATTTGACAGTTTCAAGGTAAATCAATAGGTAAGTTTAACATACGATTTTACCTGAGATATTGTTTGTCTCACCCTTTGACAGTCAATCGTTTTGGAGAAAGAGTGAAAAGAAAGAGAGGAAGATAAATGATGATAAAAAAGGGAGAAACATGGTCAAGAGGGTGGTGGTCAAGGTGGAGGAGTGGGAGGGTTAACAGTTAATTGCTGGTTAACTTTTTCATTGTTATTGTTACTTTTGATCAACTAAATGTTTTGTATGTTTGATACTTGAATGTTAATTGTTAAAAGGTGAACCATTATTGTTTGCACAATATCATTTTAATTGTTAACAATTAGCCGAAAATATTTAATTCAATTTGTTTGTTAACCTTGACACTAATCAAGTTTTTTTCTTTGTGACAGTTAAGATAAATTAATATTTTTGGTGATTGATTAATGATTATAACTGAATAATTAACGAAACCATTACCTTAATTATATTACAATTAAATTTATTTGACCATTAACACTTTTCAATGGGGTATCGGTGATATTACAAAGTTGACCTGATTGTGTTGAACATTTTTTAGGCTGAGTTAATTATCTCATCAGAATTGGTGATTCATGATTCTTAAATGGTTTCCATGTTGATGAGAGGATTAACAAGGGTAAACAAAGTGCTAATGAATATAATATTATATTCATTGAGAGAGAAAATCTCAAGGTTTGTCCTCATCTTCATCTTAATCATGATGATTTGTTTTTTTCGAGTAAACAAAACAAATTTAAAGTTCTAATAACGAGAAATCTGTTTTCATTATAAACTTTTGTTGAACGTTGATAGTGATTGATGGTGTGACTTGGTATTTAGACTTGACACTCCTAGTTGACTGGTTAGTTACAATTAAGGTGGAAACTGTGGGCTTGATTATGATTATCATGATGATGAAGATAATGATGATGATGATGATGATGATGATGCCGGTGTAAACAATAGATTGATGATGAAAGATTGAGAAAGAGTCAGTAGTTGATTTAATAGGAACAGAAAAAGTAACAAATACAAACTATTGATCAATTGATGAAAATTATTACATAATAATAAATGAGAAAATTAATTTTAACCAAAATAATTAACTCTCATTTCAATTCAAATCACAGCTCAACAATTTATCTACAATTAGGATTGATTAGATTTTATTTTTCCCCTCTAACAATTTACTCAATGAATGAACTTGTTGCTGAACTTTTTTTTACTATTCTTACTTGTGAAGAGTTTGTTTCGTTGGATTTTGAAGATTAATCAGAAATTGAGATTCTTTTTGGCAGAATCTGAATCAACCATGGAAATCATATAATCTAAAGTTTAATTCATAATAATAGTAACCAGAGAAAATTTTTCTCTTCTTCTCTATCATTCCTATGACGTTCTAATGGTTCACCTACACGCAATCAATGATTACTTGTTGTAATGAGAAAACATTATCACCTTAGAATTCATTCAGGTCACTTTATCATCTCTTCCTATTCTCA